CTAATTCCTCAATTAATTCTATAGTCCATTGTAATGCATCTCTATCAAACTTTGGACGCAATAACGCATTACTAAAAACCATTCTATTAAACTTCCAGGAACCATGAATATCGCTATTATTAAATACTCCATTATCAACTAAACCATATTCTTTACCATGACCATTTGAAAATCTTTTAGTATATTTACTTTTAGTAGATGCTTGATGCATTTTAACCATATACTTTGGATGGGATAAAACAATGGTTCGTTCACTACTAAACCATATTTCAAATATATCACCATATTTCAAGTGGAGATACTCGAATAATTCAGTTATCCCTAAAAGACGACCATTTCTTTTAAAACACAAATAAATTGAACCTATAAATGGCAATGGTATAGGGCCTGGTAATTTATTTGGACGAGTATAATAAACGTAGTAGAAATGAAGGATATAAAATCCAAATAGAAAAATGAAGAATGCGAGGATATCATAAATAGTGATAAAAGTTAATGACATGGTTATATTATTTACTTGTTATGATGAAATTTCAAAATTCTCAGCCTTTTGATTCTGAACTTTTATAGAATTTTAATAAACCTAAGATCTATCCGAAAATCGATAAAATTATGTTTAGGAATCTTTCTAGAAACATGCACTAATTTAAACGGAACTATTATTTTTGTCTTTCTAAACCTATAATATAATTTCAACGCCTCAGAAATCAAAATATTTGTCCCTGTGCTATGCACGATGCTATTAATATCGAATGTTCGTGTAACTATGACTCATTTTACAATAATAGATAAATGTCATAAAATACGTACGTATACGTAGTTTGTTTATATCTTCTTTTGGCATGTTGTTAATTAAATTGGTACGTAGTACAATTTAACTCTATTTACGACTTGGTAATTTAAAGTTAATAATCATGACTAAGTTGACTAAGCAGATTCGATTCAAGCTGAGTCGAATTGACTCAATCTGAGCTGACTCAATCCTAGTCAAATTAATACAGCGTCACAATTTTCTATCGTTTCATTGAATATAATTATTTGTTTTTTTTACAATATCTATTAAAGATAACATTATAATTTTTAATTGCAGATTCAAGTAATAGACATACGGATTTGTTTAATTATTTTAGAATTACTGTTATAATTATCAGAACTAAATAGAAGATTTCAGAATTAGCGTATTTCAAAAATAAGTAGGGATTTAAATTCTGAGATCTAAAGTGACTATTTAAAAATATTGTAATAATATCTACTTTACCTTATATATATTCTAAAGTTCAAGAATATATTATATAATAGAGTAAAAATTAATATTTAGTTACGAAGATAAAAAACAATTGTTATAGCCGGGTTGTATGTTAAAAAACAATTGTTATAGCCGGGTTGTTTTAAAAAATAACAGTTGTAAAAAATGTCATTAATAAGTGTACAGTTAAAATAAATTAGAATTTGTTAAATACTTATTTCATAAAAAATATTTCAAAGTAAATAGAAATTTATTTTTGTTTACAAAATTTGAAATCGGAAAATGAAATAGAGACCCCTATTTTATCAAGTCAGTTATCTTATTGATAATGATCTCATTGATCGAAATATAAAAAAAATTTCATTAATTTTATTTTATTAATGGTTTGGTTTTCATTCAAAATTTTAAAAAGTTTAGCACATTTACGATGTTTAGAGTTTTTCAAAGTTTTGAGCAAAGATTTTATAACAAACATCTGATAAAAACTCACGAATCGAGTTTTTAGAATTAAAGTAAAAAAGTTTATTCGTGAAATATGTCACGTGATATATGATCGACAACCAATTTGATACTCCTGAATTTACTTTTTTTGATAAAATCATTTATGTAGTCGGCGCTTAAGAAACTAATATGTACGTATATCGGTAATATCAGTTAATGCAAATTGACCGGAGGTCAATAGATCGAAAAGTTTGACTAAGTACAGGAGCAAGCACGCGCCGCCAAAAAATAATAATAAGCAAACGCCTGCAATGGTAAGTAAGGCATGAGTAAGCACATGCGATTATGCGGGTATTTCCCTATAAGCAAAGTAATTTATGCATGCCACAAATGTGAACCATAAAGTAATAATTACCGGTTC